AGCCTGAGCATTAGAAACTCTCCAAGTGAGAAGTTTGTAGAGAAGCAATTGAGAAAACGAGGGATGCTACAGAGATCTGAGCACCTTGTCTCTAGAGCTTTGGTGAATAAAATCTTATGGTTTATGGAAGAGACCCTAGTATGGCTGTGCCACTGTGAATGAGATTAGGGACCTGCTTAAAGAGGCTAATACCATATCCCTATTCAAGTGTATGGAACAAGGAATAAACAAAAAGACTGACACTGAGCACACTCTATCTCCCACACTCATGCATGGGCTCTCATCCCTCCAAATGTATAATTTCCAAGTTAGTGGAGCTGAGTTCTCCTAGGAGCCATAGTGGCAGGTCCTGGGACTTCAATTTCATTAAAACATAGCTGATGCTGCTGGCTCAGTGCCTTGGGCAACAGGCATGTGGGTCAGATCAAAACTGTCCATGTCAATCCTGTTTCCAAGATCAAGGCTTAGCTCAAATATAGCAACTATCCTGGCATAAGGAAAAGTAACCCAGAAATTTAAGACTTAAGTTTTCTTTCTCCAAAGAGTGCTTTCTCCCAGGTGCCTCAGTCAGAAACTATTTTCTATTTTTCCTTTGTGACAGTCTCGCTCCGTCGCCCACACTGGAGTGCAGTGGCACGATCTCGGCTCCTTGCAACCTCTGTCTCCCGGGTTCAAGCAAATCTCCTGTCTCAGTCTCCCGAGTAGCTGAGACTACAGGCACCTGCCACCATGCCCAGATAAGTTTTGTATTTTTAGTAGAGATGGGGTTTCACCTTCCTGGTCAGGCTGGTCTCAAACTCCTGACCTCAGGTGATCCACCCACCTCAGCCTCCCAAAGTGCTGGGATTACAGGCGTGAGCCACTGCGCCTGGCCCAGAAACCATTTTCTCCCCAGATTTTGTAGGGACTAATTTTCTTATTTGTTTATTATTATTATTTTTAATAGAGTCGGAGTTTCACCATGTTGCCCCGGCTGGTCTTGAACTCCTGAGTTCAAACAATGTACCCGCCTCAGTCCCCTAAAGTGCTGGGATTACCAGTGTGAGTCATGTAATCCCAGTGTAAACCGTGCCTAGCTGAATTTTCTTACCCCCAGTTGTCAATTACAATTGTCTTTTCCATCTCTTCCCTAAAAGATATGTAGGGAAACAAGAGGGGAGAAATATTTAGCCTTCCTGCTCAGCAAGGGCTATCTTGTCTTGGGCACTGTTTAGAGAGCTCAAAAGAGGCAAAAACGCTTATCTTAAACCCATGGATAAAATGAAGTACATACAAACTCATCTAAAAAGAAAGGCCAGTCAAAGAGCTCTAACAGGCTGTGCCTGGTGGGTAAGCCTGTGACTCCAGCATTTTGGGAGGCCAAAGTGGGAGGATTGCTTGAAATCAGGAGTTCAAGATCAGCCAGGGCAACACAGCAAGACCCTGTCCCTACAAAAATAAAATAATTAGCTGGGCATGGGGGCATGCACCTGTAATGTGGCCCAGCTACTCCAAAGGTTGAGGAAGGAGGATGCTTAAGCCCAGGAGTTCAAGGGTACATACAGTGAGCTATGATTGTGCCATTGCACTCTTACCTGGACAACAGAATGAGACCGTCTCTAAAAATAATTTTTTTTTTTAAAAAAAGAGCTATAACAGAAGGTGCCATTTATGTAAACTCAGCTCTCCTCTTCTCCTATGCTGAACCCAAACCACTTGGTAAGTTGACTTGATCAATTCACTAGGACTGAGAAGCCAGTGAGGGTACAACTGCAGCAGGCTTTCATTTTAGATCCAGAGGGTTTCCCTGGGATGGAGATAACCTGAAAATGAAATGCTCCTCCATGTTAGACAAGCATTGATCTAAGAATCAGCATTCGCCTTTTCCTGTGGCAGCTGCCGGGCCGAGAGGAGCGTGGCTGTCTCCTCTCTCCGCCATGGCGTGTACTCGCCCACTGAAATCAGTGTACTCCGAAAAGGGGGAGTCATCTGGCAAAAATGTCACTTTGCCTGCTGTATTAAAGGCTCCTATTCGACCAGATATTGTGAACTTTGTTCACACCAACTTGCGCAAAAACAACAGACAGCCTTATGCTGTCAGTGAATTAGCAGGTCATCAGACTAGTGCTGAGTCTTGGGGTACTGGCAGAGCTGTGGCTCGAATTCCCAGAGTTCGAGGTGGTGGGACTCACCGTTCTGGCCAGGGTGCTTTTGGAAATATGTGTCGTGGAGGCCAAATGTTTGCACCAACCAAAACCTGGCACCGTTGGCATCGTAGAGTGAACACAACCCAAAAACGATATGCCATCTGTACTGCCCTGGCTGCCTCAGCCTTACCAGCACTGGTCATGACTAAAGGTCATCGTATTGAGGAAGTTCCTGAACTTCCTTTGGTAGTCGAAGATAAAGTTGAAGGGTACAAGAAGACCAAGGAGGCTGTTTTGCTTCTTAAGAAACTTAAAGCCTGGAATGATATCAAAAAGTTCTATGCCTCTCAGCGAATGAGAGCTGGCAAGGGCAAAATGAGAAACCGTCGCCGTATCCAGCGCAGAGGCCTCTGCATCATCTACAATGAGAATAATGGTATCATCAAGGCCTTCAGAAACATCCCTGGAATTACTCTGCTTAATGTAAGCAAACTGAACATTTTGAAGCTTGCTCCTGGTGGGCATGTGGGACGTTTCTGCATTTGGACTGAAAGTGCTTTCCGGAAGTTAGATGAATTGTATGGCACTTGGCGTAAAGCTGCGTCCCTCAAGAGTAACTACAATCTCCCCATGCACAAGATGATCAATACAGATCTCAGCAAAATCTTGAAAAGCCCAGAGATCCAAAGAGCCCTTCGAGCACCACGCAAGAAGATTCATCGCAGAGTCCTAAAGAAGAACCCACTGAAAAACCTGAGAATCATGTTGAAGCTAAACCCATATGCAAAGACCATGCACCGGAACACCATTCTTCGCCAGGCCAGGAATCACAAGCTCAGGGTGGATAAGGCAGCCGCGGCAGCAGCAGCACTAGAAGCCAAATCAGATGAGAAGGGAGTTGCAGGCAAGAAGCCTGTTGTAGTAGGTAAGAAAGGAAAGAAGGCTGCTGTTGGTGTTAAGAAGCAGAAGAAGCCTCCAGTAGGAAAAAAGGCAGCAGCTACCAAGAAACCAGCCCTTGAAAAGAAGCCAGCAGAAAAGAAACTCACTACAGAGGAAAAGAAGCCTGCTGCATAAACTCTTAAATTTGATTATTCCATAAGGTCAAATCATTTTGGACAGCTTCTTTTGAATAAAGACCTGATCAAACAGGCAAAAAAAGAATCAGCATTCAAGCTGGACAGCAAATCTTCCCTTCAAGGCATTAAGATTTATTGAAAAACTACATACATATTAAAACATCTTTATATACATTTTCCCCATTATAAGATTACAAATATACAAACATGAGTATTGTCAAAGTCAGCATCTTATTAGAAAACTGTTGAAAATCTACAACCTAATTTCATCAATTAAATTGGTATTCCCACCTCCGAATAAACAACTGGCACACTCTCTTCCAACTTCCCAAGTCCAGCTCCTGACACTGAAGCCACAACATTCACATAGAATGTTTTTCCAAAGCAGCACTAATGCTCAGTTCTGAGGGGAAAAACATTTGTTCAAAATTCTGAGAAGCATGTGGTAGTTCAGGGAAAATAGAGAATGATGGCAATTCTCTTCAATAATATTTCTATTAAATTCCATGGTGGTCTTCTCTTAAAATTAGTAATGAAATATTGAAATGTCCATGGACTAGTGAGGGCAATGTATGTAAGCCAGGAGAACGAAATAAATAATGGTTGTTTCTTCTTGTCAGACCAAGGGAGGTCTTTGAACAACAGTGCTTCAAATTAAGAATTCAGTCCCAGGAAAGGTCTCTCTGCCTCATAGACTGTGATGGACGAACACTGGGTGTAACATTTTATGTTCATCCCCAAGCTCCAGAAAATTAGAGCCACAGTCTTTCTGACTTGGGTACCAGTTTAAGTCCTTATTAAGCAGCAAAAATTAATTCAAAATGTGATGCTGCCTTGGGAAGAAGCATACAGGAAAATGAAAGGGGTCAGACTAATACAGCAGCTCATGTATCAGTTCCTAGGTCCTCTAGGAATCTTTCTTTCGGTTGGGCGCAGTGGCTCTCGCCTGTAATCCCAGCGCTTTGGGAGGCCAAAGAGGCTGGATCACTTGAGGTCAGTTCAACACCAGCCTGGCTAACGTGGTGAAACCCCGTCTCCACTAACAATACAAAAATTAGCTGGGTGTGGTGGAGCATGCCTGTAGTCCCAGCTACTCAGGAGGCTGAGGCAGGAGAATTGCTTGAACCCAGGAAGCAGCGGTTGCCATGAGCCAAGATTGCACCACTGTACTCTAGCTGGGGCAACAGAGTGAGACTGTCTCAAAAAAAAACAAAAACAACTAATTTTTTGTATTTTTAGTAGAGACGGGGTTTCACCATGTTGACCAGGATGGTCTCGATCTCTTGACCTCGTGATCCACCCGCCTCGGCCTCCCAAAGTGCTGGGATTAGAGCCACCGCGCCCGGCACAAGAGCGAAACTCCGTCTCAAAAAAACAAAAACAAAAACAAAAACAAAAACAAAAAAACTTTCTTTCACCGAACCCTGGTCATCATGGTACGTATCTCATGGGTGCAAAGTAGTCATTATGGTACTGATTTTCACTTCCTTCTCTAATCTGTAATGTCACAGTTTTCCTACTCTTCTTCTTCCAACCACTTCTATCACAAAGAGATATTAACCCAGGAAGCTGCTAGGATAAAATGTCAGATGTTTAATGGAAGAAGTGACACCTAACCCAAGGCCAGGTGTGGTGGTTCATGCCTGTAATCCCAGAACTTTGGGGGACCAAGGTGAGTGGATCACTTGAGGTCAGGAGTTTTGAGACCAGCCTGGCCAACATGGTGAAACCTCGTCTATACTAAAAATACAAAAATTCGCATCAACCTGGGAGGTGGAGATTGCAGTGATCCGAGATCACACCATTGCACCCCAGCCTGGGCAACAGAGTGAGACTCCACCTTAAAAAAAAAAAAAAAAAAAAAGAAACCTCACCCAAGTATTCCATGAGTTGTTGACGTTGTAAATACTGCAGAGTTGAGATCAGTGGCCAATCCAGGGACTAATACTAGGAAAAGAGATGTCCAGAGCTGTTCAGTAGAAAGAACTGGAATTTCAGTCTGCAATCTTATTGCATTGATTATGAAGGATCATTGCCTTGTGTCAATTCCAACTCTCAGTGCTAGAAACTTCTCAAGGCAGTCTCAAGGTAGATTCTGGTACCCTTGATGGTGTTAGCTCTCCAAGTATTTGAAGATGCTTTGCTTCAATCCTGAAGTGCTATTATCATCTGTCTTGAGGCGCTTAGGTGAAGGAGAAGTCACGAAAGATGGACCCCTTCTCTTTACCTAGAAAGCAGAGAGGGAGTCAGGGCCAGCTTAAGACCTTCATACAAGTACTTACCTTCAACTAGCTCTCAAGCAACTTATAGTTAAATCGTGGATTATTAAAAACAGAAAAAAAGAAAAAAAGATTACCTACTAGGGGTAGCAATTCTCTTGTACTTTATTGGGGAGTGCAAGATTTCAACACTGCAGCATAAAGCTGTTAAGTCAGAATTTTTGTTTTTAAATTTAAATAAATTCTAGTTTGGGAATCTACCATATTAGTTCTCAAATTCCATACCTGGGACTTAGACAATTCCTTTGCCGCCTCAGTCTTGACAGGAGAAAGTGTATGAAAGACAAAGTTTCTTGAATTTCGAGGAGCACTGGGGTTAAGATCAGAGAGAGCAGCCAGTTTCTGAAGCACAGCTTTGGGCTGGTTTAGCAGCGAGCCTGTCTTCACCTGAGGAAAGACAAGTCATCTAGTATCAAATCCCAAGTGCCAGCTAAAGAATGAAAAGTCCTTCCCTCCCTACCTCCCCCCAGATATTGAGGATACATATTCCTACCCTATTAAAGTAGAAAAGAAATATCGGACTCCTTTAACGTTAACTTTTTCCCTGCAGCCACCTCCCTCCTCTAAATACAGAGACTATTCCCTAAGCTGAACTTGGGCCTTTATAACCCATAGACTAGATGTTAGATTAACTACATTCCCAACTAACCTGATGAGCACTTCCCAGTCTGATGGCTTCAAAAGGATTTCTGAGCAAAGACTTTGATTCTTGAATAACCACAGGGCGACTGGCTGGAAAGAAAAGACAGAGGCCTATTCTGGGAAAAGCTGATTAGAATTACTTTTAAATCTAAACAAACTAAAACATCTTGTAACTAAATCAATATGCTAAAGCCATGGGAACCCTGTTCTATATAATGGTGACTTTGAAGCTACAAGAATTGGCTCCAAGATGAGAGACAACTAAGTTGAACAGTAATCATTTAAGAAAAACAAAAGTGGTAAGTGTGTGGAATAGTAAAGAGCTTCATTTCTGGAATTAAATATTCCTGGATTAAAATCCTACCTCTAACACTTAGGTATAAAATCCTGGGCAACTAAATAGAGAAAGCCAGAATTAACTACTCTGAGCCTTAGAATATAAAGTAAAACCAGCTACATATACTCACAAGTACAGTCTCTACTGCCCAATAGTCTAAAGCTAAGTACACTGTTCCCCACCATCTCTCTGAAGCTCTTTAAGACAGTATTAGACACAAGCTTATGATTAAGCTGCAACAGCTCCTGAAGGTTAGAGTCACCTCCAAAGCTCTAGCACTAACAATCCAGGGAGCTAGACCCTAAGGAGAAACAAGAGCTCACCATTCTTCTGCAGTGCTTTGGCTGTAACTTTCTTGGCCATTATCATAAACTGACTGTCCTCCCCAACTTCTTCTTCTTCTTCAGCTGTAATTTTCCCCTGCTGTGCCTGAAAATAAAAATCATACAGCATTTTTAAAAAGTCTATAGCCTTCCTAAATAGTTAGCATCACCTGGATTGTGAAACTAGAGTTCCTGGGGTTTGATTTGTTTTTCTTTTTGCTGCTGCTTTAAACAAAAAAATTAATCTTAGACAAACGTGAAGAGAATTGTCCATGGTAGCCTTCTCAAAATACAAAAGATAGCTCGAGGATTAAAAAAGATAGCAATATGATGCCTAAGATTTTGAAACTATTATGCCAAGCTAAGATTTTTTTTTTTTTGAGGTGGAGTCTTGCTCTAGCCCAGGCTGGAGTGCAGTGGCACAATCTCAGCTTACTGCAACCTCCACCTCCCGGGTCCTAGTTCAAGCAATTCTCCTGCCTCAGCCTCCCGAGTAGCTGGGATTACAGGCATGTGCCACCATACCCAGCTAATTTTTTTATTTTTAGTAGAGATGGGGTTTCACCATGTTGCCTAGGCTGGTCTTGAACTCCTGACCTCATGATCTGCCGGCCTTGGCCTCCCAAAGTGCTGGGATTACAGGTGTGAGCCACTGCACCCGGCCAACAAGATTTTGAAACTATCATGACAAGCCAAGTGATAGCCTCATAAACTAGGGTCAGAGTAGGTGAATTCCTACCATGTCCCGAAGCCACTGCTCTCGTTCAATTCGCTCCTTCCTCCACCTGGCCTCTGACTCATCAAGCTGTTCTTCGGTCTGATCATCATCAGAGTCTCTGTGGAACAAGTCCATCTGGGAAGCATCATCTAAACAAAGAGTGAAGGTAATCAGCATTCAGCAATCCTCATAGGAGAGAGTGCTTGGACAGACAAAAAATAAACCCTTATGGTTTACTACATAATGATGTAAACTTTTCCCATCCACTAACAGAAAACAATAGCTATAACTAGGTCTTCCCATAGCCTGTTAGTTTTGCTTGCCATTTGCCATGTGAAACTGGACAAACAAGCACATTGTAACTATTTGCTTTTAAAGGCAACAACCAAGATACCTATGTTTTTCCATCGAAACTTCCTGATTCGCCCAGGACCATCACTGTGCAGATCCCCATCAGCAAGGTACCTCTCTTGGTATAAACGTAGCTTATCATCATCCAACATAGTTTTCCTATAATAGGAGAAATAAGGTGTTCAAAACAAGGACCATTCTGGCTGGTTATAGGGCCTGTCTTATGATATACCCTGCTACTCAGAAGGGCTTCCGGGGATACTGACATGTGTATTTTCTTGATTTGACTCTGTAGTTCCTCATCAGAAGGAAGTACTTCATCAATTATGTCCTCTTCATATTCATCAATCTCTTCCCCATCATACTCATCTTCACTTCCCACATCACTTCCTGACACCTCTGCTTCATCTTCCAGGTATTTCCTCAACCTCCTAGAAAGCAATTTTGAGAATTAGGAAATGTAACAATGAATACGCTCACAGAATATGGAAGCAGAGAAAAGCAGAACACAGAGCCTCTTCTAATAATAATAATAAACATAATACATTTTGATAATATTTAAATTTTTTTGGTAATAGTCTCCTACTTGATGGTTTGACTTAATGATTTTGCAACTTTACCATGGCATGAACGTGATTTGCACTTAGTATGTTTCTAAATGTATAATGGAGTTATATCTGGATAAGCCAAAAGTGCATTTTCAACTTATGGCAGATTGATCAGGATACAGCTCCATTGTAAGATGTGGAGCATCTATATTTAAAAGTTGATCACTTAATATGTCCTATGTGCTAATAACTGTGCTTTACAACTATTAACATCTTATCTTAGGAACGGGTACTATTATTCTCTTCATTTTATGGTTGAGGGAACTGAGCCTCAGAAAGATTAAATTTATCCAAGGTCACATAGCTAGAAGGTAGCAGAGCCTGGATTCAACTTAGATTGGGTGACTTGAAAGCCAGAAAACTCTTAATCTCTTCTACATGCATTAGAATACCTGCTGGAAGGTTCAAACTATTTTGTTTTGCATTTGAGCACACCAGCTTTAAGAGAGAAACTGGAGATGATGTGGTGTAGAAAGGTAATAAACTGGGATCTTCTTAGTCTACCAAATCTTGACCCCCATATTAGAAGGAAGACTAAGGCTCAGAGCTCCTCGTTACTAATTAGTTACTTTTTCTGATTTCAGCTCCCCTTGAGAACAAATATGCTATCACCCTGGGTTCTAAGTCTTCTTGGTCCCATGTGGTCCAAAATGGCAGAAGTTTGGTGGCTTTCTGAAAACTGATTTTTATCAAAGACCTATACTGTATTTTCTTTTCTTTTCTTTTTTTTTTTTTT